TTTCTTATTAAAACAAAATTACTCAACGTAGATTTGAATCTAATCTAAATATTTATTGCTTATTCACTATAATTTCAATGGTTATCTCTGATAATAAACACAAATAATATAAATTCATCGATAAAAACGTCACGAAATCTCATAAATTTTTTGTTACATTATGGTGAGTATTATGGAGCCTTAAATGACTTGAATTACAATACATTAGTGTGATCTAAAGCTGTTACTAGCGATTTTAATAAATATTGTATATTTAAAGAGTTATTTTAATAAAAAGCAATTGGCACTTACGTCATTTTTGTTACGTGAGCTTGGGTCATCCGTATGTTTCAGAGTCAGTCGCTCCATTGATAGTTGATACGAGAACACTATGCTTCTAAGCGCCAGCGCTTGACATATTATAACTACCTCTAGTAAAATAAATACAATTATCAAAGACAATAATTATATACATTTTAATGAAATTTGTTGAAAATTTTATTTTATTTTTATGTTAAAAAAAATATTTTATTTTAATGTGTGTATTGTCGTGTGTGTTTTAGTTGTATTTTTTTTTTATTTATATTTGATTTTTTTTTGAGAAACATGCTTGCGTTGATTGTCGCATATTTTGGATGTAAGATTTTGTGAAATAATTGGTAGATTTAGGACTGTGTGTGATGTCGTGGGCTTGATAACTAAATAAATATACACGTATAATATATACTAATTCCAATGCAGATAGATTCAGGCTGGAATATCTTCATGATCGACGCATTTGAGGAACAACATAGGTTGATATTATGATTGGGTCGAGCTGTCATATGCTGATATATTCAGGGTCCACCTGGTTGGTACCCCTGACGCTGTTCAATTCACGTTAGGTTTTATTCTGAAGGGCAAAAGGCTTATTTCATCATCGAAGACTCATATAAAAATTCGAATACGTTTCGCTCAAGTTTTGGGAAGTTTAAGAGCCTCTATCTTTTTCTCCCACTATACTTAGTGACAAGGAGCAAGAATCATCTCCACTCATTAACATGTTTACGATTTTACGGTCGAGTAACTGGAATTACTTTCTTTTTTACCGTCTAATAATTTGCATCCACAATCTGTTAATTTTGACCCAAATAACTGGTATAAAATGCTGGGAACCTCTCGTTCCGCAACAAAACGATGATTTCATATCGCGCTTATGGGATGTTCTGGACCAACCCGGTCGTTTTATATTGTACGTAAAACTTTTAATAAATGAACTTTGGCTTCTAAAACTGGATTGGGATAAAATTGCCCCTCGCTTTGAAACTAATTTTTATCTATGTCATTATGTCCTTGATTCAATTTTAAATGAAAATCGTTTTCGTGGCAAACGCAATCAAGCCCGTAAAAAACGCACCTGTTTCGCATAATCGGCACATAAGACGTATGAAGAACTTTTGACAATTCTTAAGTCAAGACCATTAGTCATTCTAAGCGAAGATCATTGAGAAACGAGTCCCTTAACACCCACTATTTTTTAAATTAGAAACCCTTCCCTTCCCTTCTTGTTATTTACCGTCTAACATAAATAAGAAGGGAGGCATCCCCTTTTACGATACTAATAAGATAAATTAGTGAAGTCATACCGGAGTAATTAATATTTAGGTACATACGTTACAAACTCGTAACAAATGGAACACCCGATATGAAAGGCTGCTATCGTACTATCGTTTTTATGGAGTCCTACTAGTCCTATTACTGCATTGGCTTTTGGGAATCGTACAATCTATTCTATTAAAAAATTAAGACATTTTCTGTAAATGTAAGGTAGCATAGGTATTTAATTTGTAAAAATTAAAAATAGATTTTTGCGCCATAGATGGCCAATTTGTCGATGAGGGAATCTTGGGTACGAATAAAAAAAAATGCATAGAACTAGAAAATCGGAATCAGTGAAATGCACGTGCATATTTTTTAGTCTTAGACTAAAAAGTGTTGTTAATATAATAGAATAATAAGAAAGAATATAATATATCAACATTTAATGCTGCTCAAATAAAACAAAAACCCAAGAATCTAGACGAAGACATAAAAATGTAAAGAAATATTTCTTAGAAAGAATTTTCATATTATGTTTCTAGGAAACCGATATTTTCTAACGATACCAAAAAACAAACTTACTTAAAACAATGCACACTGGTTTTACTTTAATGTTTTTCTTTAGTTAATTAATTATTATATGTATAATGTATCTGTACGTACGGCTTGCCTTCCGCACACTCGTATCTGTATCTATCACGCAAATTCCTCAAATGCGGTAATCCAAGCTTTCTAGTTTCTGGTAAGTTTTGGTCAGAAGCAGTTGTATATATTACACGTATGTTATATATTTATTATATGTATTACACAGAGATGTTTTAGATTCTTTTCCAAGACCAAACATCAAGGTAGCCAGAGAACCACCACTATATCTAATAGATCACCTTATCTATGTTCCACTGGGATGTGAAAGTCAAGCTGAAGTCGAGAGAGATGTAGATGATGAGATGAGATGTATTTCGTAGGCATAGCACTTAAAATAAAATACTTCAATCAGTGAACCCTATATTTACTTATGGATCCGAAACAACGCTCATACAACGCACGATGGAAAGCCTGAGAGTCGCGCAGCAGGCGATGAAGCGTACAATGCTTGGAATGTCCCTTCGCGATCGCGTATGAAATGAGGCCATTCGACCAAGACCAGCGTGAGCGACGTAGTAAGGGCTGTTGCAACATCTAAGTGGTGGTGGGCAGGGCACATACGGCGCATGGATAAGAACCGATAGATGCACAGGCTTCTTGAATGGAGTCCTCGGCAGAACAACGATATCGCGGCCGCCTACCGACTAGATGGACTGACGACATCGTCAAAGAGGTTGGCTCCCAGTGGATGCAGAGTGCAAGGCGTACTGGAGGAAGATGGAGGAGGCTACGTCCAGAAATGGACCAGAAACAGAGGATGATGATGATTATACAGATTAGTAGTAAATCATCAAACTGAGGGATTTCCACCCGTACTGTACGTATTAAGAAATACCGGCATGACAGGCAAGTTAATAAATCAATATATCATAAAGCAAAAAGTATCTTTATAATAGGATCTTGTTGTGGGGTCACTCGCTATGCATTTGAAACCTATTATTCAAAAAGAAATTGTAATATTTATAACAATGTGCTATTGAATGAGCTTTTAATATTGAACTGTGGAGCTACGTGACGCAATCTCAAAGCGCATCATGCATACAAATTCATTTTATAAACTAAAAATATTAGAGCAGTGTTGGCTAGTGGCTTCAGCGTGCGACTATCATACCTGAGGTCGTAGGTTCGTTCCCCGGCTGTGCACCAATGGACTTTCTTTCCATATGCGCATTTAACATTTGCTCGAACGGTGAAGGAAAACATCATGTGGAAACCGACATGTCTTAGACCCAAAAAGTGGACGGCGTGTGTCAGGCACTGGAGGCTGATCACCTACTTGCCTATTAGATTTAAAAATGATCATGAAACAGATTCATAAATCTGAGGCCTAAAGAACTGAACCTAAAGAAGTTGTAGCGCCACAGATTTCTTTATTTAAATTAAAAATATTACAAATTTTCATTAATATGAAAAATATAAATTTTGCCTTTATATTTTAAATATATTCAATATTAATATGTCTGCTTCGTTTGTCTTTTTCTACTATAAGTAGGGAGTTTTGCATCAGTAAAAATGTATTTTTTAAAAACAACATTTATTATCTTAAACACTTATAACAATATGATATTATTACAATACTTTGCATAATTTTCACAATTTAATTACGTAATTAAAACCAGTTTTCATGAAACAACATAAAACTCAAAACTGTTTGTGTAACTTTTCTCATAAAACACTATTATATTCAATACAATTTAATTCATAGTTTGGCACATGGATTGAGCCACAATTCGTGTAGCGACATAGTGTATATGTCTTAATTATTTTATTAATTATATCTTAATGATTAAAAAATCTATAGGTTGAGATTCAAAGTGAAGTCTTAGCTCAAAGTATGGCTTTAGTTAAATTCAGTATATCTCAAAAAATAATAATTAACTTAACAAAACAAAAAAAAACTATAGTTAACTATAGTTTTTTTTAATGAGCCTCGGCTGTGATCTTACCCATAAGATACTCGTACTACTGTCTCTCAGGTGTCTGTCGCGATTAATAATTATATTCCTTTAAAAATAAAATTGGGAAAACTTAAAACTCTGTTTTTTTCAGTTGACGCCCTATTCACGATTAAAAATTTTGTGAAATAAACCGATAAAAATTTCATGACTGTAGACAATACTAGATTAACTAAATCATATATTTATATTGGTTTTTCAAACATTATTTAATAGTGTCTGTGATAGACACCAGTACCTATGTACCTATGTATCTATTAACTTAAGACTTTCATCTACCCTCGTTAGTCTTTTATTATAAGGAACTTTGTAATGAAATTATAAACTCATGACAAGTCTCACTTTACTTAAATATTTATTTTAAAATAATTAACTTTCACTTGAATTTTCTGACTACCCCAGTTCTATTCAGTATCGGTATTAAAAATCAATAGCGATTTTATTTTTCGTATTTAACTGTGATATGCCTATATCGCATTAATAATAATAAGATAATTGAATAATTAACTCAGTATTCAAACAAATTTCCGGAATATTCACTCGTTAGCGAAAGGGCCGCTCGTTGCCTAATAATTTACGTAACCTAATTTTTATAATGTATGTTTAAGGTGTGCGTAAATATCGCACAAATAACGAAGTGTAAATAAATATAAAAAAAGAGTCTTCAAACATCTTCAAGGACTTAGTGATAGCATAGAAAGTGTCCTGAATAAATAAATGTCATTTATGTGTGTATGTTTTGCGTCGATAAAGACATATTACAATAATTATCGACTTTGAGAACAAAAAAGTATTTATTAAAATATTATATAAAACCATATTTTATTCGCTACGGGTCGAGTCTTAAAGATTCGGTGGATACAATAATATCCCTGATAAGAACGTTAGGAGTGGCGTATTTATCAGTGTGACTGCATCGCAATGGGCTCGTGGCTGCTGGCTGCATGCAGCGACATCTTGAGCAAGGACCCAGGCCATCCGCCGAAGTAGATTGCCCGCTGCTGCTGAACAGGAACGACCAGCATGTGATACGCACGACACAAATGCATCTCTAGCACTATAAAGAAGATAATCATATTAATATAAGGTAAATAATGTCTACCAAACTATGGCTTAGTTAATAAAACTCTGTCTATATTTAGTTGCTCATACTGGCATCGTAATATAACTTGTATAGAAGTTAATACTGATAAACTTATAAGTAAGTCTAACTTATACGTAAGTCCCGTGCAAAGCAAGTTGTTAAAGTAAAATTGTTTCTATAAAATTACAGCTTTACAGTATTTATACAAAGCTTTTCATCAAGCAAGAAAATAACTTGATATTACCTCGCAAAAGCATTGTTGCATTGATTTTGCGACAAAAACGAATTAATTGCGAAAATAGGAGATATGTCAATAAGAAATAATGTTTTTCTTTTACCCGTAGAGCCAATTAATTAGGAATGTCTATTTATTGTCCGTATTTATTTTGCCTTTCCCTTAGATTTCAGAACTATTTTTATCGTAATGATGATTTTACTTTAGGTGCTGCCTTAATAAAATATTCACACATGTAAAAAAATCTAATAGATAGAAACATACTGCCCTCTATGTTATACTTGGGTGTTCAAAGTGAAGGTTATGCTAAAGACAAAGAGCTATGGAGAGAAGAATACTAAATAAAAAGAATATACACCAAGTCGAAAATAAATTAGACAAAAAACTAAAGCAACCCTATCACAAGCATTAAAACTAAAATGGCAATGGACTGTTCATGTAGCACGATACCTAGACAACATTAAAGACAACACAATGTAAGGGACCACTCGGGAAAAGAAGAGTGGGCAGGCCAAAAATAAGGTGGGCTGGTGGGCAAAGATACATCTGCAAAGGAGCTTCACCCAAGAGGAGCTTCACCCAAGAGGGATCCATAACCGCAGGCGACTTACATTTAGCTATTAGTAAATACTAACAAGATTTGAAATGTAACAAGGATATGGAAATAAAAAGGGCTTTATTATTATTATATCATTACAACTTAACTTAAAAATATATTCGTTCTATCTTTTGTGTTTATTAAGTTATTAATATTGGCTTTGGGTAATTCCTAATACATATTAATATTATCAAATACGATAATTACCAGCATAGTTCATAACTCTTATTGAAGTAGTTGATTAGTTGAGCTCGTTCAGAGATATCTCTAACAGCAAGCTGCAATTCGTCCACACATCGAGACCAGTCGGGCGACACCATCGACCAACAAGTTGGTTCTTTTAGGAAATCTAAAATTAAGACATATCTGTTATTGAAAACGTTCGATTTAGGGTACATCAGACATCATATTACTACAATATGTATATTGTATACATATTACTAGAAATGGCTTGAGGAAGTTAAATTTTCTATTTATTTATGTGAACATAAAGCACAAAGATACAAAATTTAGCCCCCTATTAGTTAACGCAATGAGGAGGTTGAGAAACTGGTTGAATCTAATGTCTTAGATAAATAAAATAAATCAGTGGCGCTACAACTATGTTAGGTCTGGGCCTCAGATTTCTGTATCTGTCATGATCATTTGTCAATCCAATAGGCAAGTAGGTAATCAGCCTTCTGTATCTGACACACGCCGTCGACTTTTAGGGTCTAAGGCAAGCCGGGTTCCTCACGATGTTTTCCTTCACCGTTCGAACGAATGTTATATATAGAAATAAAGTTGCACGCACGGTGAACCCACTAAGCTAGTTGTGACCAAGAGTTTATTGAAAATTATAAAATACCTCTTCTCAAAGATGAATCGTTAGTACATAGGAATCTCATGAGAGCTCTAGCGCCTCCAATCTGTTGTTGTACCAATTTTTGTCCATCTGTTGGCAGACATCGCTTGATCCACGCATCCATACACGCCATGCCTGTATGGTACGCCCTACTAAATTTAAGCTAAAGTAAAACCTAATATATAACATTCTCGTGTCCGTGAAATGTTGAGGTTGGGTCAGCGAATCGGGACAACATCTTTTTGCCATTCCATTAAATGTTAATAGTGGTCCACCCCAAACAATTTTTTTGTCTTTAACCCTTAGTTTTCACCCCTCTGCGATGTACATCTACATTTTATTATATTAGGTAGTTATTTTTATTGAACTAAACAAATGTTTCCTAGAAATAAAATACACGGCTAAACAACGTTTGCCGGGTCAGCTAGTATACTTCTTATATTATTCAAAAAGCTCTTTTACTCTTGTATTGAATTCTGTATACACATTTGTCAAACTTGTACATCAGCGAGGCTGGGGACCAACAAGAAGAATACATATTTCATTCTTTCTCCGGGATCTTTTATAAATAAAATAAATCAGTGGCGCTACAACCTTTTAGCTCTGGGCCTCAGATTCTGTATCTGTTTCATGATCAAGGTCTAAAGCAAGCCGGTTTTTCTTAACCGTTAGAGCGAATGTTAAATGCGCACATAGAAAGACTTTTTTGGACTTTCCATTGGTGCACAGCCGGGGCGAACCTACGACCTGAGGGATGAGAGTAGCACACTGAAGCCACTAGACAAACACTGCTCATTACGTATTACGTATCAGTGGTATAAAGATAATTTTCACATTATGTTCAATTTAGTTAAACATTCGGGATCTTTTACAGAGAGGAAATTTTACTGGAATTAGTTTCTCAACAATAATGGGCTTTATAAAACTTGACTGAACTTGTAATGAACCGTGTTGTTGACATGGCAACGAAATATTTTCCAATTAAAAGGTAACCAATTTGTAATAAGAATTTTTATATTTTGTAAAATACATTGTGTGTGTCTCTTATCTAAAACCCTCAACATGACATCCAGTTAACACCGTTTGTGTAAGTAAATTTAATATTTATCATAACTCATCAACTAACGCGACCCCCCCCTTTCCCCCCCCCCCCTTTTTTTTTTCCCCCCCCCCCCCCCCCCCCCCCCCCCCCCCCCCCCCCCCCCCCCCCCCCCCCCCCCCCCCCCCCCCCCCCCCCCCCCCCCCCCCCCCCCCCCCCCCCCCCCCCCCCCCCCCCCCCCCCCCCCCCCCCCCCCCCCCCCCCCCCCCCCCCCCCCCCCCCCCCCCCCCCCCCCCCCCCCCCCCCCCCCCCCCCCCCCCCCCCCCCCCCCCCCCCCCCCCCCCCCCCCCCCCCCCCCCCCCCCCCCCCCCCCCCCCCCCCCCCCCCCCCCCCCCCCCCCCCCCCCCCCCCCCCCCCCCCCCCCCCCCCCCCCCCCCCCCCCCCCCCCCCCCCCCCCCCCCCCCCCCCCCCCCCCCCCCCCCCCCCCCCCCCCCCCCCCCCCCCCCCCCCCCCCCCCCCCCCCCCCCCCCCCCCCCCCCCCCCCCCCCCCCCCCCCCCCCCCCCCCCCCCCCCCCCCCCCCCCCCCCCCCCCCCCCCCCCCCCCCCCCCCCCCCCCCCCCCCCCCCCCCCCCCCCCCCCCCCCCCCCCCCCCCCCCCCCCCCCCCCCCCCCCCCCCCCCCCCCCCCCCCCCCCCCCCCCCCCCCCCCCCCCCCCCCCCCCCCCCCCCCCCCCCCCCCCCCCCCCCCCCCCCCCCCCCCCCCCCCCCCCCCCCCCCCCCCCCCCCCCCCCCCCCCCCCCCCCCCCCCCCCCCCCCCCCCCCCCCCCCCCCCCCCCCCCCCCCCCCCCCCCCCCCCCCCCCCCCCCCCCCCCCCCCCCCCCCCCCCCCCCCCCCCCCCCCCCCCCCCCCCCCCCCCCGGCGGGGGGGGGGGGGGCGCCCCGGCGCGGGCCCCCCCCCCCCCCCCCCCCCCCCCCCCCCCCCCCCCCCCCCCCCCCCCCCCGCCCCCGCCCCCCCCCCCCCCCCCCCCCCCCCCCCCCCCCCCCCCCCCCCCCCCCCCCCCGCCCGGGGGCGGCCCCCCCCCCCCCCCCCCCCCCCCCCCCCCCCCCCCCCCCCCCCCCCCCCCCCCCCCCCCCCCCCCCCCCCCCCCCCCCCCCCCCCCCCCCCCCCCCCCCCCCCCCCCCCCGCCCGCCCCCCCCCCCCCCCCCCCCCCCCCCCCCCCCCCCGCGGGGGCGCCCCCCCCCCCCCCCCCCCCCCCCCCCCCCCCCCCCCCCCCCCCCCCCCCGCCCCCCCCCCCCCCCCCCCCCCCCCCCCCCCCCCCCCCCCCCCCCCCCCCCCCCCCCCCCCCCCCCCCCCCCCCCCCCCCCCCCCCCCCCCCCCCCCCCCCCCCCCCCCCCCCCCCCCCCCCCCCCCCCCCCCCCCCCCCCCCCCCCCCCCCCCCCCGGGGGGGGGGGGGGGGGGGCGCCCCCCCCCCCCCCCCCCCCCCCCCCCCCCCCGGGGGGGGGGGGGGGGGGGGGGGGGGGGGGGGGGGGGGGTGTATTTTTGGAAACTATTTAAAAGTAATCCCGTTTTATTTTAAACATAGGACGTCGTTTACACATTTTCTGCTGTCATATGCAAGTGGATCTTCACTACCATCACAGATATAGTATTTGCTTGAGTTGGTTGTCAGGTTACTGAATATTAAAAGCAAGCTTCTGTAATATCGCTCCTATGAAATGAATTTGTGCACGCATTCATCATCAAATTGGCTTTGTACATTGTTCTTTTAATATTTAGTTTTAAGACTTAAAATTTTTGCAGTATTTTACCAATATACTACTAATATATATACTTTAACTAGCAGACTCGGCCAAGCTCTGCTGTGGCTAAGGTTTTTGTTATATAACATATTAGTAAACAATAGTTTACTACTATGTAATATCCTTAGAATACAAGGTAAACGTTAGAACGCCAGTCATGGGGACCACCATGCTTTTTTGGTGGTTATGCCATTAAATTGTAGCTTATGTGAAACGTTGGTACTTTCAACACAGCGCCATCTGTTAGCGCGACTGTCAATTATTATTATTAATTATTATAATTTTATTGTGACTGTCTAATAATAAATAAATAATTTGCAATAAAATAATATTGCGGGTATAAATCAAGTTGTAAGGTATCTTATCTTTTAAGTTAGATCAAACTGCACACGGTGTGAAAAATTGATTGAAATCGGCTAAGTAGTTTAGGCGTCCATAGCGGACAAACAACGTGACGCGTAATTTATATATTTTAAGACTAGCAGACCGGCCAAGCGTTGCTGTGGCTAAGGTTTTTGTTATATTACATAGTAGCAAACTATTCAAGGGAAACAGTAGGAGAACACCAGTCATGGGGACCACCATGCTTTTTTGGTGGTTATGCCATTAAATTGTAGCTTATGTGAAACGTTGGTACTTTCAACACAGCGCCATCTGTTAGAATTGTGACTATGAAATAATAAACAAATATTTTGCAATAAAATAATATTGCGGGTATAAATTGAGATGTAAGCTATCCTTTCTTTTAAGTTGGATCAAACTACACACGGTGTGCAAATTTGATTGATATCGGTTCGGTAGCTTAGGAGTCCATAGCGGACAAACAACGTGACACGTAATTTATTATATATATTAAGATTATAAAATTGCTATTAGATTATCCATACATTAAATCATATTTAATATGACATACTTATTGAAGTTATGATTTCTATTTAAATATACAATTTGGACATCTTCAGTAGTAAGAAAAGAAAAATAGCTGGAACGTTTTCGTGATTGTATAAAACAAGTACGAATTATAAAGTATTCTCAACATTGCACATCTACAGAGTTTTATTTGTTATATAGTGCAAATATTCTTGAATTGTATAATATTAATTTGTATAATGTCAGCAGTTACAACAGTCACGTAGCATCATCATCAGATGGGCTTTTGTGCATTTGTCCCATTATGTGTAAACTAGTATTTTTCGCAAGAACTGTACAAATCTTTGAACGTATAGCAGTGTTAAGCAAGACAAAGACTTAAAACTGGACCGCCTAGGAGGATTCATTGCATAGAAGGCTGGTTTGAAGAGCTACGACGCAGTTTACTTCAGTATACTCACGCGCAATGAGCATCCAATTCTTTTCTCGTTCTGGGCAAACCGACCGGTGTTTTAGGCGTCAGCTCGACACATAATCTCAGCTCATTGGCGTCACAGCTATCTTCACTCATCTGTGCTCCTCCGCCACCTTAAACATAATTTTAATAAATACCAATCAACACCTCTAAAATAACCTGAAATTTATTATTTTCCAACTCTATTTTTTTTTTAATAGGCCTTCTGTGCCTGACACACGCCATCGAATTTTGATTCTAATGCAAGCCGGTTTCTTCACGATGTTTTCCATCACCGTACGAGTATGTGTTAAATGCTCACATAGATAAAAAATTGCATTAGGTCAGGGTGACTAGGCCAATATTGCTTAAAATTATAAATTCTAAATAAAGCATAATTTATAACTTCTATAATGCGTTGCAACTGTTAATATCTGACGGTACGAACCTCTATATTCAAAGTAGACGCCGCATTTTTTAATGAAACCTCTTTATAGATGTGGAACATTCTATACGAAACAAGAAAGTACTTAAAAGACTGGCAACGTACTAGCGAGCCTTCTAGCAATGTGAGTGTCCATGGGCGGTGGTATCACTTAACATCAGGTGAACCTCCTGCCTTAAAAAATATGTACCTACCATCACCAAACAATCATTGTTTTGGCAGGAATCGAGAACAGGCCCTACACGTAACTACAATACTTTACTACTAGATAAAAATTGTCTCTCCTTCACATTCTATATTTGATAATATCGCTTTACATAATTTTGTTCGCGAACAGTATTATCCGATAAAGAATATTGTTGTTTATTTTTCTTTTGAGAATTTTCACACTTTAAAGAGGTGCCCGTTATTGGCACTCTTGTAAATTGCAGTTCTGATTTATTGTTGGTTTTGTCGCAAAATTGATGACTTTTCGGAACCATTTTTCATCCAGGTTAGAAATGAATGGATACTCGTGCCTTTTTATTTTCTTACATTTCGTTATTCTTATACTAATTCTCGTATAGAAGGCACTTCTTAATAATGAGGTTTTTTAAAAATATATATCAACTTTACTTTTAATTAATTATTTTAGCACATTTAACTTAAGGATGATGCCAATTACATATTTGAGCCGTGGTCCGAAGTAATCAACTTGTATATATTTTTAATTAAACTTTATTAAATAATTTGAGTTCAATCACCTGACGGTTCTATTGTTTGTTTAATTATATTAAAACACGTGAATCATCAAATAGGATTTATAATTAACAAACTAATATTCAGAGAATATTAGAACTTAATATGTTTGCACGACTATACATTAATTTAATTCGTGTTTTAACATATTTAGTTACAATTATAGTATACTTAAACTGATTTATAAATGAGGTATTATAATGGGATATATTTCATTGTATAAGGTTTCAATGCTACTTAAAACATCAAAGGTAAAGTTTACAAATATAGGCCTAACCAGTCGTCTGAATATCAGAATCAATAAATTTTCTCTCATAGAACAGGGGACAAACGGGGAGGAGGCTCACCTGAAGTTATGTCATACTGCCCATGGACACTCTCAATGCCATAAGGCTCGCGTGCGTTGCCGGCCTTTTAAGAATTGGTACGCTCTTTTCTTGAAGGACCCTAAATCGAATTGGTTCGGATATACTTCAGCGGGCATCTGGTTTCACATAGTGGTGGTGCGTGGCAAAAACTGCCTTAAGAATTGCTCAGTTGTGGAACGATTAACGAATCAATATTTAATTTATATTCGGTTTCAAAACATATCTTAAAAATTTAGTTAAGAAGAAATATAAGTTCAATAGCTGAACATTTTAAAACACAAAAAAGCTACCATTTGAGAATGGCAGATCTCAGGGCTAGAATAATTTTAAAATAAATTCATTGTTTTTCTCCGCAGTGTCAAAAATTATTTGATTATTTTGCATTCTGCACAAATCTCACCGAGACAAATGATAAAGGTATTAATATTGGATAATGAATTTCCCTTTATTTTATTTATGCTTTCAACGAAACATATTATACATATTTATATATTTGAAACGCTTGAACAAAGTGATGAAAAAACATGTGTAGGTAATATAAGACTCGAATATTATTTTAGCATCTCCTTTGTGATCGGAAAACCATCCAAGACCATTAATTGCTCTTTCGATCATGAACATCATGTTAATTTGATTTATATCGATCTATATACTGGAATTGGATATGACGTGTAATACATCAAATGCAAAGAGTTGATGTTTGTGATATTTGTGCCTAAATTATATTAAGAACCACCATCAAGAGTTATACGTTGGACCTGTATAGTAGTGCATAAAGTTGAATTTATTTCGGGATAGGATTATTCTTTTATTTCAATTATGTATTTGTCACATATTTATTAAGGCTTTCACGCTGTTTAATTTAGCAAGTGTTCGTATTTTAGTACCTGAATTTCTCGGAAACTTAAATTCATATTGATATCATTTTCATTTGAAATAACTTTCATCAAAATCAACAGAATCAAAAAATTCATTTACAACGGATATTCAATTCATTATTTTTCTGGTAGATTGAAAAAAAATCCTTAATCCGTGATAACATACCTGGATATTCCAAATAGTTTTTGCTTTGAAACATTAATTGAAAAAACTCTGTGTGTGTTATAGTACATATATGTACCTCCAATATTTTCATTGCGTAGCAATAATCCTTTTTCAAAGCGTCAGGAAAAGCCTTTGTTCTCATAACTTCGTTATTAGTGTTATGTGATGCAATGTAAATACGGATTATAGTATTATTTATATTAAGGAGTTAGTTTTGGAAGTAGTTAGTATGAAAATATTGAAACACTAAAGAAAATTTCAGTCGTGTTTAACAGAATTTTCTAAAGTTACATTCATTGCCAAAAAAGATAAAGTAATTGTGTGCAAAGTGCTGAAACCGCAAGAATATTGAATGCACTATGAAAAGATATTTCTTCGATTTAACACCGAGTTTATTCGAGACGACATCTTTACTGAATTCCAATTGAATGTTGAAATATTTAGCGTGCATTTCAGAGCATTGTGGATGAATCCAAACGCAGAATAAAAATAATATAATAAATTAATATGTTATTATACAGTTAAAAAAGCCAATTTTCATCTGTGTCATCTGAAAGTAACTCCCTAATATTCCTGTCTTATTGGATGTTTTGTTAATATTTGTAATAAAGTATTTGTCTGAAAAACCAAAGTTACAACCCCGGCTAGATACAATTGAATTTTAATTTCTCCGTTCATCATCTGCTGGTAAGGTAATAGTAATTATGATTTTAATCGACCATATAATATTTAAAACGCAGAAGGCCAGAAGGCTGTTATCTATTTGCCAATAAAGAAAACTAGTACAAAATGCATTCTAATATAAATCAAACATCTTTTAACTCAACTCAAAATTATACAATGAAACATACATTTTAACGGTTAGAAAACAATATGCAGACTTTTTTGAAAAAAAAACACCGACCAAACCACATCATACACAATGCCCACCTACATATTATATGCTGTCCAAAAATCCTTTTCTATCGAACAAAATATCCATTTAAATGTGATATTAATAATATGTTCTCAGTTAAATATTATGTGTATTTGATACTTATTTAAACCCTTTAGTTCATAATTGTTTATCTATGCAAGCGATAGAAAACGGATATATACTTAGTTGCTTTTATCGCTGTGCAACTACAAACTACAACAAATCTTTGTAAATTAGATTCATATAATGTAATTTATTACCTATTTTTCGTTGGAAACTCAGGCTGATGTTTTAAAAATTATTACATGTATGAAGACGTAAGATGAACGACAGGTATACTTTGTTTGGTTTTAATTAGTTTGGATTAAAACACAGTGCCAGCCTGTAATTAAGTCTAAAGCTTATATATATAAATATTTTAGCAATCTTTACATTTATAAAGTTTTGACATTCAACATCTTAAGAGATGAATCGCAGGGTCGACTTTATGTAATCAAAACGTTACCCAATAAGATGTTTTTAAGTCCATTCAGTAATAAAATGATAATATTTTGTGAAAATCAAATTAAATAAAAGTTATTGCCAGCATAAACGGTACACTGCTACAGGGACCAAACTTTTTAAATTTGTTTGAATTTTCTATGTCAATTTATATCAATTTAAAATTATTATTACTATGTTAAAAATATTGTACACACAAAGTGTTGGAAAATAATATAAATATTACTTGTATTGATAATAAATATATTTACTTTCGTCCATATATAACAGTACTAAACATATATGATTTTAAGAACAAGTTTACTTACTTGCAATCAGAACAATAGCCACTAAAATAATAAACATTTTAGTTACTTTGATTAAAGACTTGCACATAAACTACCAAATCACACAACAAATGTATGTTACTCTTATTTATATTATTGTATAATAGTCCACGATTGAAAGTTCTTGCTGGCATCGACACGTCCGTTAATAACGGAGTATGAAGTATAACTGAAAACTCCACAAGCTTTTAAAAGCTTGGGTTATCCCAAACTGCGAGGTTCACTGAATATTGTATCCTTGGAAATGATATTTCTAGATAAAAACTATTATACTTATAAAACTTATTATCTTTCGTTCGAACTTTCGAGTCCTGGTCAATTTATGCAGTGAACCGAAAATGGAGGCATTCGAGATCGTGGTTTTGGAATATTGCGAATACCACGGACTGCAAAGGAAACCAATAATTTCAACCTCTTTTAATACAATTTTTGGTGTGAAGAGTGAGTTTAAGGAACAATGACTCTTGTGTGTCAAAATCCAATACATTTATGATGCACGGGAATGAAACGTATATGAGCAAATGTTAGATGCACATATAGAAGGAATATTCATTTGTTCACAGCCGTGATTCGAACGCAGGACCTCAGGGTTGAGTCATACGCTTATTCCAACACTGCTCTTATCAACTAGACAGACAAAGAAACGTATTGTATTCTAAATGGTACCCGAATGAATTCATATATATAGGACCTACTTAATTTGCGTATATTGCTATGATTTCAATTCTATTTAATATACTATGAGAGTAGGTCGTTGCTCTATATTATTTTATTATATTATGATATAATAATAGGTAGGGTATAATTACATGTGCACCGAATAACGGACAGAACCACAAGGAAGCACAAGATAGATTACGATGGTGAAAGATACTTTTTGAGAATTAATAATTTAAACTAGAAACCATCATATATCGTCATTTGCAGCTGTTATAATTAATATAATATAATTTTCTGTACCTAAGTAAAAATTAGAAACAAGTTTCAATCTTTGTTTATCAATTTTATATATTACGACGAGTATAAACGATAAGTCCATAACAACCTGGCGAATACAAATCGCGATTAGCTCGATTTAGAATGATTTATATAAAAAAATATAAATTAAATGTATTTATACATAATTTCCAAGTACAATGGAGTTCAAGACAAGGTTTTCGAATATGTTTATGAACTTAAAGCATAATTGGATTAATGTACCTACGCTTGCGCAAATATTGTAGAATGAACAAGCTTTTAACAATTATGTCTGGTAAACAGCAATCAAGCCTTCTTATTAAGATTTATATTTAAGTCTACAATTTAATTTTATTATTAATTTTTATTTACTTCAAATTTGTTAACATAAATGCAAGAACTAAAAAACCGATTTCGAGTTTTATTTTCCGGTATAAGCATCATTAACATAAACAAGAGTGACATAGACATTTTATTAAATAATAGTATATTCCCGCTTCCACACGAAGCCGTGACACGCCTTTATAACACTGCCTTATAAGGTTGATATGTTAGTTTTAATGTATAAATCAACCACGATTTAAATAGTTTTATTGTAACAGATCTAAAAACTGTGCTGTTAGTTAACATAAGCTATGGTTTTTACTTTCATTTTTAATTTTTTTAGTTGTGAAACAAAAAGTATTTCTTATTTACTGTGAGCAAGTATGTTATAATTATGTAACCTAATAGAAGAAAATTTACCCATTCCGATGGTTCAATCACATCAATACGTATATTGAAACCCAGCAGATATTAATACTCGATGTGAACGTTTATGTTTATTATGAGAAATAGATTTATTACTTATTAAAAAAAACTTTTTCAATTCATTATCAATTAATTTATTAAGTAAAACTTTCATTAATCGTAAATTAATCAATAAAGCTTTTTAGAAATTTGACGAGTATTGAAATGATGCCTGATCCTAATGCCTGATTGATTTGCTCCAGCCTTGCGATTCTGTAACTCACTTTTCGAACTCACACAGCGGTTTTCGCATCGGCGGTCACTCTCAAATCAGTCGTGAAGAACGAACGAAAACAAAATAATTTCATTTGTATGACCCAAAACTTATCGATTAAAAAGAGTGGCGGACAGTTTCTCGCCCAGTACTTTTGCCCATTGTGACTCTTGCGAACTTTCTGTTGACGTTTTTAAATGTAATTTTTTTTTTTTTTTTTTTAAACATGGATAAGCTCTTTGAAACTTCATTGAGCTTTGATTGAATTTCACCTGTACGTGCTTTGAATATTCTTTGCTTGTTTGTTTTACAAATCGTGCTGATCGATACAAAAACACTTACGTAGCGACGTTTTTAGGTTAATCTGTACTTTCATAAAGTATTTAACGTTTTGTTAATCAAATAATTAAAAACATAAAGTTAAATATTTGTATTTTTGAAGAGTTGTTTACAAAATTACTTTTATAGATCAAATACAGTCAAACCTGGATGAGCGAGAGTTCAGGGAGCACAATCTCATTCTCGCTTATAGAGGTTTCTCACTAACCCGAGTTTCCCGCTAATGCCGGTACATGGGTAACGTTTCTCTCTTATAGAGGTACGAATGTAGTAAATATGTAATATGAAAAATTATGTGCATAATGTGCACAACATATATTATGTACATATTTATTTTATTTAGAACTTATTAACACTTAAAAAATCCGTCAATTTCGTTTGAGTTTCTGTTTTTGTACTTTGAATGTTTTTCTCTAACTCATAAATTTTGTCGAATATTGCTTGATCAACAACCGCCACGTATTCAAAGTACAAGCTCGACTGTCGCTTATAGAGGTATAGATAAGTAGCAGTCTCACTTACGGAGGTGCATGAGGGAAAAACGACTCTCTCTTACAGAGGTTTCCGTTTCTCGCTAATAGAGGTTTTGGGAGCTTAAAACGACGGGTCCCGGCTATTACTCTCACTTATAGAGTTTTCTCACTTATCCAGTTGTCACTTACCCAGGTTTGACTGTATATGAGACTGGATTTACGGTACGTTGGGTCTCTAACGGTGCGTACAGACTATATAACATAACATGTTATACAACATTGCTATATAACATGTTTCGGATAATGTGGACACTGAATGTTATAAAACATGTTATAATAACATGTTATTGATATGCAGCAGCATCTACGTTTTTTTGTTTTTCTTTTGTTATGAAAATGGTTATATAACATTGTTATATTGCATTGTTATTCTAATGTGTACAGTATTGTTTTATGTTATAATGTTGAATAACAAGGTTACATAATGTGGACGTGTTATAAAACACAAGTTATATAATATGTTACATAGTCTGTACGCACCCTAAGAAGGTATGCTACACTGTCATGTGTTTAGTGAATGAAATAAGAGCGTTACATAAACACTTTAGAATTATATGAGTCACATATAAATAGGCAATGGAGGCTGCCCATGTATCACTTGAAATTGATACTTTTTATACAATAATGTGCAAGAAGGGTTATGCCTTGCCTTATTAATGAACTAATTACCCTTTTTTAAAACAGGGGCAAACGAGCAGGAGGGTCACCTGATGTTAAGTGATACCGTCGCCTATGGACACTCTGTATGCCCTAGAGCTCGCGAGTGCGTTGCCGGCCTTTTAAGAATTGGTATGCGCTTTTCTTGAATGTCCCTAATTGTAATTGGTTCAGAAATACTTCAGTGGGCAGCTCGATCAACAAAGTGGTGGTACGCGGTAAAAACTGCCTTAAAATCGCTGAGTTGTCGAACGACGGACGTCGATGTGATACGGGTGGAATTTACTTATTCTGCCTCGACGTCCGATGATGAAACTCAGCTGCAGATGCATCCGAACATAGTGTACTTAGAATATAGCGAATACCCATCGTTTTGCTTTAGTTGTTAACACAAATTAAACTCATTCAAAATATATGAAACTTAAATATAATTAAAAAAAAAAAACAATATATGGAATTATTATGGTAAGTATGCAAACGTAACATTGCGTGTGACGTGAAAGCTTGACAGTACTCTACCTGGGCGGTAAAAGCTTCCGGCGAAGCAATGTTTAAAGTTCTTAAACACAGAAGTCTGATATCAAACCATAATTATATGCATAAATACAGATACAGATATAAATCCTATAATGCGACTACAAGTATCTTCATCCAGCAAGGTGTGTCATTCCATAGCAACGTGATTCTAGGAATTTCTCACTATATGTTAGCGCGCGGTTTAATATCTGTATCAAGTTCATATCCTTTACCGTCTGTTTCAATTAGAATTTTACAAAATTAGGAATAATATTTAGGTGTTACTAAATTAATTATTGTGAACAGTGTTGGCCTAGTAGTTTCAGCGTGCGACACTCATTCCTAAAGTCTTAAGTTCGATCCCCGGGTGTGCACCAATGGACTATATTTGTAATTGCGCAAATAACATTCGCTCGAACGGTGAAAGAAGGAAACCGGCTTGCCTTAGACCCAAAAAGTCGACGCCATCTATCAGGCACAGGCTAATCACCTACTTGCCTGTTAGATAGACAAAAAAATTTATAGTGAAACAGATACAGAAATCGAAGGCCCAGACTTAAAAAGGTTGTAGTGCTACTTTTTTTTTAAAATTAATTATTACGTACTATAATTATGCTTTCTAATTAAATTTATACTGCTATGTTTTGATTAAAACGATTGTCAAATACTTGTCTCATCTAATGGCCAGTACTGAAAATCATTTAACACGTACGGCGATGAAATTTTGTCAACTCATGAAAATTTATTGCCGCTTATGCAAACAAGTTCACGTTTTGGACCACAAAGTACGATTTAATTGAAATATATTTCTGTAAAACACGCCCTAGCTTTGCGAGTAGCGTTGCCAAAAAGGAAATACCCATATAGCAAGAACATTGAAATAATTTACTGTCCTTTGTTAGCAAGGTATATTCTTGTAAACTGAAATATATACCTTAATTAAAAGGGTGCTACCCCGAGAATTTGTCTCAGAACATAATTTTCAACTAAGCAGATTTTTACGTTCGTAAAGGG